TACTACTACTCTTACTCCTACTCCTACTCCTACTGCTACTCCTACTGCTACTGCTACTGCTACTGCTACTGCTACTGCTACTGCTACTGCTACTACCACCACCTCCACCGCCACCACCACCACCACTACTACTACTACTACTCTACGACTCCCTAGACCCTAAGACTGGATTCCGTGCCGGAGAACCCCAAGATGGACTCCGGCCATGAAGCCGGCGACCAAGCTGGTGGAAACAGGGGGTGAGGAACTTTGTTCAGGAGCTTAAGACTTGCGTGTGTGTTTTCAAGGTTTTAGCCTTTTTGTGCTCGGGCCTTCTTGAGGGCCCGACCAGTCAACAAGGCTGAAAGATTGGACGCAGCAGAGTCAAGTGCACATTGTACCTACCTCCACGACGAGGGACATGCTTCTCAAAGTCCCGCGCCCTCTGTTGCCTCTAGAGTTTGCTCGGGGGGAGCATTGTCACCGAATGCTCCTTGTATAAACAGCAGGGACAATTTCAGGGTACTGGGCTTGGGGAATGGAGTGCATGTGTGTGTGGGTGTGGGTGGGTAGGAGTGGGTGGGTGGGTGGGTGGGTGGGTATAGCAGTGGTGGGTGGGTGTGGGTGGGTGGGTGGGTTTGGTGTGCAGGTGCGGGTGCAGGTGTGCGTGTGTGTGTGTGTGTGCACGCCTGCACATGGCGAACGATTGGCACATACGATTACACCGTCGTTTTGCTGCAGCTCTGTTTTCAGAGCACGTGTGTGTGTGCACGCACATGACGACCTTCGAGTGAGAACGACTTTGCTGCATGGGGGCAGTGCATGCGTGACAGTCAGTGCCCAACGAAGACACTGTCACTGCGTGGTGATATCTGGACTGGTCAGCCAGACGTACCTGCTTTCGGATTAGCCGGTGGGCCCCCTGTGGCACTGGAGTAACCAAATCCAGGGGGAAGCTTCTCTGTCAGCTTGTATGTTTGCCGCAATCTGTCGTCGTTTGGTCCTGTCAGTAGCTCGGCTCGTCGCAGTCTTTCGTGCCGTGCCATAGTGTGTTTTGTTCTGGAAATCCCGACATGGGACCAGATCACAGTGGGCAAACACCCAAACCCACGATAGCGGGTGACAACGCCAATGCTGCAAATCTGAAGTTCATCATCATCATGTGACACATGTGTGTTTAGGCTCAGTTGCCGAAGCCGCATTCTGATCGACTGCAAAGGCAGGTGTTATTTCGGAAGGGCTGGGGTCAAGGCAACGCGATCAATGCAGGATGCGCACCCTAAGACGGATGGACCATGGATCGCTACCTGCTGGTGCCAGGCTGACGGGATCAGCTACTCCACCCCTGAAAGGCTGACGGGATCAGCTACTCCACCCCTGAAGACGGCACTCGCCCTCATGATGTGCAGCGCGGCCATGCTACATCTTCACAGTCCATGCCGACAACTACGAACACCGACAACCCCTCGCCCACACCATCATCGACTTCATCCATACTCCCGACCAATCCATACTACCAACCCGAACTCCAACGACACTGCATCCGCTCTGCGTCATCCACGACCTGAAGGTCGTCGGAAGCAGGTCGGGGCTTGCTTCAATGGAGCCGAAGCGGTTTTTGGAAGCTCAGACGTTCGATGCCCGCTGCAGTGAGTCAGTCATGCCAACCCATGCTACCTAGCCAGTTCTTTCTTCCACATCCGTCACCATCCTTTAGCGCCGACATGGCCAGGCGCTGGACTGCCACAAGCAAACAATCACCACCGCCCCACGTCGAGATCATCGTCATCTCCCAACTACAGGCTCCGGAAGTCCATCACCTTCTACCAGCACGCGACAAGACCACACCGTCCACCAAACATGCAGGGTTGGCCCCTCGACGACACGTCCACGACAACCCGCGAGGAATATGAACGACAACTCCAACACGAGGACACCGTTACCCAGAACACGCAGCAGAACAATACCGTCCTCGAGGACACCGTTACCCAGAACACACGTCAGAACAATACCATCCTCGACTTCTTCATCTTCAGCCAGATCACAACTAATCCCTTCCCCTTAGTATTAAACGGGGCACCGTGATGGACATACCCATGCCCAGCTGGCTCTCATGTCTCCTGGAAGCAAGACTATGGTCAGTGCCAGAGTCTCCGGTTACTTACCTGGAACCACCTTCTACTGCGGGGACAACGACCACTACTGACCACTACATGGACCTATTGACCAGGATCACTCGACGAAATCGCAACATCGCCAGAATCGACTACATGGACCCGTCCCCACCACGCTACGATGACACGACAGGCAACAAGCATCCTGTGTACCGTCGAATTTCTTCACATTCCAGCTATGCAAACCATCCACATTGAGATCAGACGAACCACTGGTGTCTTTTGATCATTCGAGACGAACTCCAGCGCCATCAGTTACAGTTTCGTCATCGTCGACTTCTACATCCTGTTACGGTACCAGTGCGACATGACCGAAACCACCTCATGCACCACAACAGTGATTCTTGATCACCCCGCTACGGTGGGTGCGTGCGCGTGGCAACCCTGTTTCCAAGGGTGTTCATCTCACGTTTACTAGACAGTATGCGACGAGTACGTACAAACAACGGAGGCCTGTTTCAGAGAAAGAACAGCAGGGGGCCAGTGGACATTCTGGAAGGCACTGTCCACCGAAGACCTTTCCAGTTTGCCGTGATATGGATTGAGGACGCTCAACCCACGTACTTGCGGACATTGCTGGTGACATCCTGTAGCGGCTGTATGTGGTTGATCATCCGGCTGAGTTGTTTATCCATATTTGCGTGAACTGCACCGGAACAACCGCTGCATGTTTGCCGCAATCTGACATCAGGTAAAAGCCGGTCATTGTGGTTTAGGAAGGCAAGTTTGGATTCAAGGCCGTACACTTTACGGTGTTCTTCTTGGACAAGGCTGCGCATGAGGCGACATGTCGAAAGTTGCTGACCTGTAGACATTGCAGACCCTAAGTTTTGGGCGTCAGCTCTGGTCTTCATACATCAAACCAATCCTGACTTTCCGTGTGTGTGCACTCGCAATATAGTATTGGCAATGCTAATTTGTCTTGCAAGTCAGACCATGGAACTGGATGAACTGCAAAGGCATGACAATGTGAACGGAACGTGTCGCCGGAGTCATAATCAAGTGGGTGAATCATCATTAGGCCGTGAAACTTTGCGTGGCCTCGGAGCTGGCAAGGCCTCTTAGCTGCAGATACACAGCTCCTCAGCAGTACCACCCTGTCGGGTGGAGAAAAGCTTCTGCAAGGCGCACACGGGCCACGAGATACCGTAATAGGCTCGAAAATAAGAAGAGTTGTTTGTGTGGACAAGCCCGGTGGAACAAGTGCGCTATGGTGATGGGGTTAAACGTATTTAAATGTGATGGTTGGCCAAAGGGCGCGGAATGAAGTGCAAGCTTGGACACAGTTGGATATTGTGTGTTTGTGTCCTGGCGTTTGCTGTTTGTCTGGCATGGGCTTAAAAGTCGGATAGCGGCTCTTACATTGGCACGAGTCAGGTGGAAGTGACGGTTCTCAAACTGCACTTCCAGCGCCTAGCTGCGTGAGCCTGATGGGGACGAAAACGACCGGAGGCATGATTTGGTCGTGTGATGTTTGCAATCCGACAATGCAGGCTTTGCCGAGTGCCTGGCATCGGCGGCTGTTTGGCGAAGGCCTTGCTTGGAAGCTTCGGCAGCTGCGAGGCTCACTGTTAAGATCGGCCGAAGGGCTTGCTTGGATTATAACGGTTTCATGAAAATACAAAGCGAGGTCGATTTATCAGGTGGTGGGGGGGGGGTCGTGTCTTTTGGGCTTTTGGTTTCATGATGGTCGCAGGAAAGTATTGGGTCCTGGGATGTCCCGGGGCTATCTCGTGTCACCTGGTTGTTTTCACGCATCGACAGGCATCCACACAGGGAGATCCTCACAGCCTGCTCATAGCTAAGATTCATAAATGCTACATTATCTTATCAAGCCTTGCGTCTCTGCTGTCACATTCATCGGTGGCGGCAGCACGCATAACTTGTATTCGTCCGCCTCTGCTAATGACCCATGGCGTGCTTCCAACTCTTGACCACCCCGCGTAGTCCAAGTTTTCGGGAAGATGTGGACACATTCCGCCGCAGTCATTTCGCAGTACCTGTGGCAAAGCTCTATGTAAAGACCTTGCGTGGAACCCATTACGCGGTGAAGCGTCCTCCTGCACATAGCTGACAAAGTCACAGCGTCCGTACGTAAAGCTAGGGATGCATATTCTGGCAATGCTCCAACATGTAATATGTAACTCAGCACTTGCAACAGACCCGACTCTCTGGCCTATTTGCTGTGCGCTTCTTGGATCCACCGTCTACGTTGGGGATTAGCTAATTCTGGGTTGTAATTCCCCCGCTGATGTGGATCCTTCCAAGACTTCTGCCGGCAATTACGTATATCTTCACCAGCTGATGTCAGATAACTCGACCACCGAGCAGCAGTAGTGAATGTGTGACGGAAACATCTATCTATAGAAGATTGGCATGCGCTTACCAACACGGCGAGGCTGTTGCACCTGGCAATTCATATCTCGACAGCCACAACCAGAAAAGCTTGGCCATTATCACGAACACTGAGACTTCTTTTTCTAGCTGGTCGATCTCTTCACCCTGAGTCAGCTTGATGGGAGGCACAGGTCACATTGTCAGCATGACAGTTAGCATCCGGATACCAGTCATGCGGAGAGGCAGTGCTCGCAGCAGCAAAGCACGACAGCGCGAAGATACTGGCCCAGCCAGGGATTGGCCCCGTGGTTGCCATTACTGGCCTAATTGACAGGTTGTTTGTCATCGTGGGCATAGTTCTACCATTGCTCCAGTAGGCATGGATCCCCGGATAATGGAGCAAGTTCTGTTCTTACATACTTATGTTCTTTTGCTGACCTGCTCCTGTCAATCCTGACCATTTGTAAGCTTGGAGTGCGGAAGTATTGTGGCCTAGCGCTGGCTCTTCAAGGCGACTTTCTATTTCCTTCAGGGACTCTGGGCACACAAACCGCTTGACACGCAACACTGTCATGTCATGACAAAAGTTTTGTTAAGCAGGAGTAAGGTCATGTAGCACGGCTTGGTGATTCTGAATGCACTGGTGCATCCCCCCTACACCGGCATCCCATCTGCATGAAGCGAGGGATCGTTTTTCCCGTCTGGATGAGGCTTAACGGCTTAACCTGACCCCTTCCCCAAGTTTCTACATTCTACACGATGTCAAACTTCGGGCTGCTTGTGAAATGAAAGCTTGATGGTAGACGTGGGAAGAGGGTTTCACCAAATTTGGAGTCCTTCCCTTGCGGGGCATCCGATTAGGATCTTTGTTAGGATTCTGTCTGTTCTGAAACTCCGCGCGGGCCGCATGGACATAGACAGGGAACGAGCCCAGGCGAGAAGCGGCTCCAACAGCTCCAGGAAGCTGCAAAGGCCACAAAACTGCAGGGTTTCGGGTACATAAGTGCATACATTGGCGTGCTGGCTTTGCACCAACCGCTAGTTTGTTTATTGTGCATGCTATGACTGATGTCATTTAACTTGAATTCTTGTTGTGAGGGGCGGCTTCGTGCTTGGAGGGAGTGTTGCACAAACTTGATGTGATCCTTGCCTGTCTTGTGCGAGAGAGTCGAAAGCCGTCAGATCATGTCAGAACTCTGCTTGGAAACTGAAACCCCGAAACCTAAGACCCTGAAGTGTAACATGAAGCTTTCTTTTCGTCCTTGCGGAAAGTGGTTGGGATCTATGCTGACTTGTCCGCCCTTCCATGGCTCCTTGTCCTTGCAAAGTAGGAGGCCAAAAAAGTCCTAAGGGGTCTCCCTCCTCTCCGAATCCCCTGCAGGCTCAGCTGTCCGGGTGTGCTCACGGCGGCCCAAGTTCTGCGTAAAAAGGAACCGCTTGTGCCGAATATAGAAGCCAAACAATTACCAATCATATTCCTTAGGGCTCCTTGCTATTATACATATTATACAAGTACTATACTGCAACATACCCCTAAATCCCATTCTACTTATTAAGGCCTTTGTATTGCTGTGCCTTTGAGAGAGCAGGCCGGCAGGCCGTACATAGAGCGATCGGCCCATAAACTTTGGGCTCTGGAATTAATTTGGGATTTTTCCTTTGAGGGGGTTAGTTTTTTGGGGGGGGTGCTGGTTTTCCTAAGGAGAACATACGTTACTTTGTGTTTTTCCTAGGGGAAAACCTTCTTTTTCCTTACGTTCTGGACGGATTTCGTGGTACGTTACCTAGGCTTTTCCTAGGGAACACACTATTTTGCTTACGTCGTCGTCGTGGTCGTCGTCGTTACCTTGGTTTTTCCTAGAGAAAACACTATTTTCCTTACGTTTCGGACAGATTTCGTGCTGTGTTACCTTGGTTTTTCCTAGGGGAAAACACTATTTTCCTTACGTTTTGGACAGAGTTCGTGGTGCGTTACCTTGGTTAGGGAAAAAACTATTTTCCTTACGTTTTGTCGTGCCATTTCTTAGGTTTGCCTAAGCAAAACATGCGTTACCTTGTTTGTTCCTAATTAGTCAAAAAACAAACAGTGGTTTCCATACATGTTGGACGGATTTCATGCGTCGACGTTGTGGTAGTAGTAACAGTAGTAGTCGTCGTCGTAGTAGTAGTGAGAATAGTCGTTATTACTAATAATCGTAGCTGGCAGCTGGAAAGGTTGAAGCAAAGGAGTCACGAGCGTACGTGGTGGGCTTAAAATTAGCTGGGGTCGAGGGGGGGCGCGGCTCTTAGTTCTACTAGCATGGTAGTAGTACTCGCCGTCGTCGTCCCATTTGCAAACATATCATAGCAGTTCTAGACTAGTAGTATGGTAGTAGTACTCGTCGTAGTCGTCGCCGTAGTAGTAGTCGTCGTAGTAGTAGTAGTAGTTGTTGTTGTTGTAGTTGTTGTTGTTGTTGTAGTTGTTGTTGTTGTAGCAGTAGTAAGAAGAGTAGTTGCTATTACTAGTCATAGTAGCTGGCAGCTGGAAAGGTTGAAGCGAAGGTGGGGGGGGAGCGCCCCCCCATTTGCAAACTTATCGTAGTAGCAGTTCAAGTAGTATGGCAGACGTACTCGTCATCAAAACGAGCGAGTCGAGAGGCCGAAGCCGAAAGCCAAGAAGCAAACGAAGCCAAGAAACCAAGCGTCAGAGCTACAAAACCAGCGAGTCGAGAGGCCGAAGCCGAAAGCCCAGAAGCCAAGGAAGCCCAGAAGCCGAGAAGCCACCCAAGCTAAAAAATACAAGAATCCAAAAAAGAAAATCCAAAATAAATACGCCTCCTACACCTTGTCCCACCGATGCCCTACAAACAAGTTGGGTGGCCTAGCGGTCGGTAAGCCCCTGGGCATTTGCTTAGCTCTTAAGCTCTCTTAAGGGCTAAGGCAAACGTCAGCTGGTGGCGGAGGGTGGTGGGAAACAGCTTAGCTTGGTCTTTCCACGGCTTCTCAGGGTTCCTTGCAGCTAAAAAGGGGCCTAAGTAAGTACGAATACCATTTTGGGGGCTCCTTATTATGATATTTGTAAGTATCATATACCCAAACCCGATTCCAATTGCTGATTAAGGCCCCTACATTATGTGATGTTCCTGAACCAACTAAACGAAGCACCCCAATGAATTGGACTGCCCTGTACATGCTCAAAGCTCTGAGCATTTTTTGCGGCGTATTGATAACCCCTCAGCCGCACTCGGAGCTCCATGATCCAATGTCGCATCCATGTACCTGGGCGCCTACTAAGCCTAACAGGGCATATTACGTCAAGTTACCAGAAGGCTGCTTGTGTATGTATATGTATATATATATATATATACATATATATATAAATATATATCTGTATATACAGGCATATACTATAACTAGTATGTGTAAGATTCCCACATCATGGAAACTTAGTCTCCTAGCAACAGCCCAGGTATAGGAGTGACGCTGCTGTCCTTGGCCTTGCTCCAGTCCTTGCCATGTGTCTTGGCTGATCTGGTCGGATAGACATTCCCCTCGCGAGCACATCACCCTAGAAGCCCTTGGACCTGTGTAAACGCGGCACCAGCGGGAAAAACAAATAACTATCTGGCATGTATAAGCGGCCACTGCAATACAGAGCTGAAACTTAGGGTTCGAATAGAAGAGATGTTGGGGTTGCTGTTTCAAATCATGTCTCAGTCAGACGTGAAAGGCCTTAATAAGGCTTGCACATCCATACTGTGCGGGTTCAGTATTGGGTTTATCCATGCGCTGACAGAGGCGCCAAGCTGCTAGGATGACATTAATTCAGACTAGATTTGAGGTTCATTTCGACTCGAGACGGGTATGCTATCATGCTGGCACTAATGGTAGGATAAAAATGCTGTGTGATTCTTAGGTCTATCGTTACGACCAGTATCATTACTATTAGGAGGTATACTGCGGGCTACAGATGCTGTTTATCTTCAGCCGCCATTTCCAACATTATACATCAGTGGGCAACACACGGAAAACAACGCTACATGATTTCGCGGAGTTGATTTGCATGCAGCTCTAGAAGGTTAGTTATATAGGCTATCATCCAACACTTGTAGCCCGCATTGCTCGAACTGGAAGAACATGGATGGCAAAAGCTCGGCCTTGCGTGACATTACCTCTAAGAATCCTAAAATCCGAAAACCATTTCAGAGGCGTCGCGAGCTTTTCCGATGGGGAGGAGATCTTGGGCTGCCTACTGGTTCAGCGCAAGGTGCCCACTGCAGCTTTGAAGGTTCCGGGCTTCAGGGCAAAGTTTAAGGTGTATAGGGCCTGGGTATCGGTGTTAGGGGTCAATCTTTGAGGGTTTAAGAACAGACTTGGGGTGTAGTTTCGGTTAGGGGTTGCGGCCTGGGAAAAATCCTTACTTTGTGTCTTCGCATTGCAACACCTAGAAGTTTTGGACGCATTCCGACATGTCTTACAAAGAGTACTATAGAACCTCACAAGAATCATTATGCCCGAAACCCTTTCATTCTGCATGACTGGATGGAGAGTTAAATCACTCTAGATCGTCAGGTGTGTCACTGCATGACGAACATGTCCTGGAACAGTATTCATGGGCTTGGAGACTGTTGAGAAGTCCGTTACGGCAGCTGTCAGGCAATGACGCTGATAGCCACTGTAGTAAGGCTCTCCGGAGTCTGCAAGCTGGCGCAACGAGCTACAGAGACCACTGGATGACATGTCGGCTGGCTAACTTGCAAGTCAGCACAAAGACGTCTTGAAGTGCTGAATGAGAGAGTGGGTGCATGGGTGAGTCAAACGAGTATGATGGAACACCGTTTCTGAGCAAGCTGCTGAGCAGATAGGCGGGCGAAACGACCCAGTTAATTGCATCTGCAGGAGCTGTTGAGAGCAGTGACATCCCACTAGATTTGGTCGTGACCGTAGCTGGGGGCTGGGTATCGGGTTCACTCTATGATATCATTCTATATCTGTAGTTCCCTTAGCCGGGTCATTGTGCTGATGTTTCCTCTAGCCTTCTTGGCCTTTTCGCAGATGCCATGTTCAAGCTCAGACCGAACTCGCCATGTCTGCCTAAACCCTAAGCCGAAACCTTGGGCGCATGTCCTTGCAGGCTGCGGCTCTGCCTCCCCGATCTCCGAATGCCGACGCAGATACAGAGCCTGTGATCTTGACGAGGTTGCGTTTCTTATATACGGGCTAATAGGGTTCAGGGTGAGCGTTCCTGCTGTTGTTGCTGCTACGGCTTCTACTGACGCTACCACAACCCTGAATCCGAGTGCTTGCCATTAGTCGCCTTGTCATTTGCCCACACGTGCTGGTTTCGTTTGGCGTTTCTGGTACGGACGGCAGACCAAGTACTGGGTAGGGTAGAAAAGGCTTCCTTAGCCCTTAGCCGTGAGCTGCGCATCTTGTCCACGATTCTTCGCTTTGGCTTTCCAGCGAAGATGGCTGCACGCAAGCTGCATGCGGCGTCACGTTTAATGTTGTGTATGTCGTTTACCTTATATGGGCGGGCAGTTCTCGCAGCGCAACACGGAGGAAGATAGCAGAGAAGGGAGTCGCCTTCCGTTGCCACTCTCTCTCTCTCTTTTCTTTCTTCGTCATTTTCGTGCGCCGTCTGTCTTTTTTCCTTTCTCTTTCTCTCTCTCTGTCGCTCTGTTTCTCGTTCACGTTTGCTAGCTTCATAGACAAACGCACGCAAACATGCAGGAGACTGGGTATGCGTTAGCTACAGAAGTGACTTCGCTTGGCCTCCGCGTGTGTGTGACAGGCTAGAGAGCAACGTCGAGGAGGCAGGCCATGCAGCAGACGCAGTCTCAGCGGATGCCTTATCACTAGTGAACGAGCTCTCCAGGTTGCAGGCTTCATTGAAGAAGTCACAGGTGACAAAAGCTGTGGCTAAGCCGTTGCAACATGATTTACTGGAAACTCTGGAAGCAGCGCACGCGATGTTGACGCTGCCTGTGCCTGCTACTTCTGCCAGCCCTGCTCAGAGCAGTTTGGATTCTTTGCTATCGATGGGGTCTTCGGACGATTCTATTTCACAGGATTTGGGTGGAAATGAGACCACCGCCACACCGTCCACGAAGAAGACTTGGCAAGACACGGCCTCCTTGGTTTTATGCTTCGGTGGCTTGTTTCAGCCACAGACCGGTGTCATTGTTTGGGCTGGGACGTCAATCCTTCTGGCATGCACATTGCTTCTCGTATCTGCCAAGACGGCCTTGACCTCAACGCCAGCAGAAGAAGCAGAAGCAGATTAAATGATTAAGCCTGCGCTGGGCTGGGCGAGTTTGCAATTGTGTTTGCTCGGCAGCAAAATCATCGGGCGTCGGTCGTTCTTGCTGGACAGGTCTTAACAACAAGGGTTTAGTGGGCATTGCCGGGCAATGCCATGACTTGAGCATGAGAACATGATGAGAGTACCGCTGGTTCCTGGAACAAGAACATGGATTAATCGGAGAGGCCGATTCCACATTCCAGTATCACCAGGTTTTTAACTAAAACTGCCGCAGCTGTCAAAGAAGAAATACAACCACGCAGTTACGAAGGTATGAAGCGTGCCCGTGGGTGCATTTTACTTCAGCCGCCCCTGCCACACTCAGATGTTTGAGTCTGGAGAACGGGCCCGACGGATTGTGCATCATACTGTTGTTGTTTGTGTTTGTTGTTGCTGTCGTTGTTTTTCTTGTGGTTGTGGTTGTTGTTGCTGTCGTTGTTATTGTTGTTGTTGTTGTTGTTCTGGTTGTGGTTGTGGTTGTGGAGAGAGAGATATAGAGATATAATTTGTCACCAATATGCTTGAACCTTGTGCAATCAACATGTCAGGGCTGCGAACGAGGATCCGTGATGTTACCCATGTCAATTTCAACAAGAACATCAATGGCCAAAGCTCGATTGCTATTCAGCCACTCGCTCCGATTCTAATTCAGAAAAAGCTGCAACCTACTGCTTAACGAGATATGATTAAGTCGGATGGCTGTCTTCCCGGGCTCCGCAATCTTAAAAAAAATATGAATTTTGACGATGATGATATTAATGATTGATGATTATGACAAAGGCGAAGAAGATTTGGTTAAAAATGGTTCCCGAATCGAAATTTAAAAAAAAAAATATATCTTGGCCTCGGTCCCATTAGATAGATGACGTGATCTTGATCGATTATTCGGAGCTTGAGACACAGAGATTAAGATAAAGAATTATAGATATAAGAAGACAAAGAGATATAGATAAATAATGATATTATATATCGCAATAATATGACCAAATTATTTCTCTCTGCTTCCTAGCTCCTCCTATCTTCTTCTATCTCTACTTACCTCCTTTAATTCTCGTGTCCATCTTCTTCAACCATCTAACGAATTTTGTTGTCCTTCCATCTTTCCTCTCCACCCATCTCTTCCATGCCCTTCCCCCATTCTCCCTCTTCGTCCCCCTCTTTGATTCTCTATCTCGTCACCTCTTCCCCATCTCTTCCGTCTCGTACGTAGGTAGGCGGAGCGTTTCTGCTCTGGCCGAAGGCATCTTCACGACTTCTTCGTCGGTGCCTGGCATAACTACTAAAGCTTTCTGTGCACTATTATAGGATTTAAATTCGCGATAAGAACGACATAACTTCTTCATCTGCTCTCTAAGTTTTCTAGATAAAGCTTACATATTCGAATATTATGGGTATGTCAAGGAGCCTCGAAAATGAAACGCTCCCCAGTATCTTTATATAATGTTCGAATTCGCGGCGAGAACGAAACGACGTCTATGTCTATAGTCTAATTTTTCTGCAAGTTTAGGGTAGATATTTAGAAATCGAATAAAATAATAAGCCCGAGACTATAAATTTCTGAGAAATTCAGAAACGAGATACTCTTCCAAATTATATGAAAGAGCAACACCACGAAATATAACTCCCAGGGCCTTAAAATTCCGAGAAATTTACGGTGTAAATAGATATATTCGCAAAGTCCTCCGGAATCCCTTAATTTTATAGAAATTTAGAGGAAATGCTGACCAGACGAAAGAGAGAGAAATTGCAATATTTCATTTTATAATCGGCTTTTAAGCATTTTTTTCGTATATCAAAAAATAAATCGATGCTTAAATTAAATATCGACCTTTTAATTTTACATCGCTTTATTTTTCAGAAGAGAAAAATATAAAAATCCAAATCTTTATTTCTAAGTTTATTCAATATCTCTCCCAATAACAATTAAATTTTCAAATACCGAATTCCAAAAATATATTTACAAATCAATAAAAATAAAAATCCAGATTCTTAAAATATTTTTTTTCGATTCTAAATCTCTATGTAATCTAATAGAAAAACCTAAAATAAATTCTATTCTTATTCTCGCATGTACTTAACAACGCTTCGTATAATATCATTTAAACTTTCTTTAAAATTAATATTCATCCGGAGTGTAATTTATATTTTCCGACTTTTATATTTGTTGATTCATCGAAATTAATCAGAGATATCTGTATTCGTGAATTTTCGCACGCCGTTTGAATGGGTAGGGCAAAGGAATATCCCAGAAATAAGCCCCTCAAAGACAAAATGGTATCTTTAAGGCGGCACCACGCTCGACGGCGTTCGAGTGGAGCATCTTCACCTCGATGGGGACTGTCGTGGTGGTGGCGGTGGTCGTGGTAGTGGTGGCTAGGGAGGCGGTCTCTCCTAGCCAGCGCATCTCTTCCTTCGTAGTAGACAATGGCCAGCGCATCTCTTCTTCCGTAGAAGAATTTGTGATTGACAGTTTATAAGTCCCGTCATCCCTGACCAGTAAGACTCTGGCGTCAAGCCATGTCTGCCATCTTTTGCTCCACCATTCGACCCGATCATTTCTCTGGTACCGCGGGGTACTCTGTGCCTCGTCAGCTTCTCCGACATCCCGGAGCACCCTCACCTCCGTTAAGGCATCTGCATGGAGCCGTCGGGGCCGGAGATGTTCCACAGGAGCGTCTGCTCTGATATCCAAGTCGTAGTGGTTGCTGTCTTTGGCTGCAGCGATCTTTGCAGGGAGCCACTGGAGGTAAGAAACACTGAAGTACTCAACGGGGTCTCCGAGATTGAACTTCGGTCCTCTGATGGGAGGAGCAGCTGCTTCCTCAATCAAGTACTCCAATTCCTTGCGAATACTTGCCAAGGACGGGCGCTTTTTGTAGTGGTTGGCCAACATCTGCATGATGAGAAAGTCTACCTTTTTCGTTCCGGCGATTGTAGGGTCCTTCGTAACATCATAGTGGTAAACCATGCCTTTTGGGTCGGAGAAGAAAGGGGGATTTCTGTTATAGACCAGCTGGTACAGGATGACACCCAAAGCCCAAACATCTCGGGCGGGAAGAGACAATGCCTCAACTTGCTGCTTGAAGGTCTCTGGTGGCATGTAAACCGGTGTGCCTCCAAGGTGGCAGCCATTTGGCTTCATCGCACAGGCGAGGCCGAGGTCGATAACAGCCGCAAAGCACATGTGGTTTTGGCAATTCACCATGACATTGGCCGGCTTCAAGTCAGTGTGGATCCTCCCGGTCTTGGTCTGCAGAGCCTCGGTGCCGGCCACGATGTCATGGAAAAGGACCAAGATATAGGCATCCGTGAAGGCGGGGTCGACTTTTGTGAAGTCTCTTCTGCCTTCCTTGCTACCCGAATTCATGCACAGTGGGTTCCTTTGGCACTGCTTGATGAAGTCATGAAAGTCCCCATGGTTCATGTACGGCATCATGATCCAGAAACCGTTGGAATCCTCGATGTACGATTCCGATCCGACCGCTGAAATGCAGAAGTCTGAGTAGCCCGTCATCTCGTTGAGGACACGTATCTCCGTTCTAACGAGCTTGCTCTTCTCCTCGATGTACTTCACGGACACATAGACATCTCTTCTCGCCTCACAAAGAACTTTGCACTTGAACACCTTTCCAAAGGTGCCGGCCCCCAGCCATTTGACGATTTGCAACTTCGAGCGCCATGCATATGGAAGCTGCACGTCTTTGTCTTTGTGAGGAGCTTCCGTGAAACTGGACGGCTCCACGAGAGGCAAGTCTTCGCCTTCCATGAGCAGGCGGATGCCGCTTTCATTGAACGCGCGATACCTGTGGAGTCATTCTACGATTCGGCTGACAAGCTGCGATGCGAGCTAGAAGTAGAATCAGAAACGAACACAAGGCATACAAACACACCCGAAAATACTCTAAGACTCTACAAGTATGGGCCCCTCCCCGCCGTCGCACCTGTGGAGCTCCTGCACCGCGTTCACGTTGTCCCGGGCCTCGCGGGCCTCACGGGCTTCGCCTGCCCGGGACTCCCCGAGGCGAGCCGCATCTCCCAACGGAGCCAGCGCTGAGAAGCCAAGGATACACCAGGCCGCCCGGGCCAGGGGTGGGAAAGGACCCCGCATCTTTCGAAGATTTGAGGCTACAAGGATTTATCAGGCAACAAGGCGTCGACGCTCCGGCGCTTGAGCCAGAAGAAAGATCTCAGCCGAAGAAAGGATCGCTCAAGCAAGCCAAGCCCAAGTTGCTGCAAGTTCAGGAGCCTTGCAGATTACACAAGTACACCTTCCAATCAAGCCTTCTGCCGGCTGTCATCCGACTTAAGATCTACGACCTTCAGTGCAACGCGGCCAACCCACTGCTGGACCATCGTTTTGCTGGAACGTGAATCAACTTCGACTCATGGTCTGCTTTACAGAAGCCATGGTCCAAGCATTGCATGTAGTCAGGTGAAACCCATCGTTGCTCTAACTCACAGAGCAAAAGCTTGTGAAATCATTCGAACTCTGCTTTGGATGGACATGCTAAAATATGCGCCCCTTTCAGCAGCAAAGCATTTCCACAAAAATGGTTTGGATTCATGTGCATGCTAATTGGAGGATTTCCGCTCTCCTCGTCGTGCTCGGGGTTCACGGCAGCTGTCATGAGCTGCCAACTCCAATCCACAACTTTCACGAAGCACTCCACTGTAAGTAAACATACTCTCCTCTGAAAGTTGTGAACGGATGCTCGGGACTGGACCTACGCCGGAGGGTTTGTCATTAACCACACCGGTTGGGTCAGCTCCACCACCACAGTCGTGATGATGAACACGAAATACAGGACCGCCATGCAGCCACCCAGCGCTTTCTGGAGCTTCCAGCCACAGATCTTGATGCTGAGGACAGTGCCGAAAACCATCCCAAGGAGGACACACGTATAAAACATCAGATAAGGAGACTGGATACTGACACCCTTAAAGTCAGGGTTGTCTGCTTCCAGCGCACACTTCAGGAGCCAAGGAACTGGTAATCCGACCTTGGCAACAAGACGCTTGCTTTCCAAAGGCTGACGGTGCCCAATTCTCCTGCCCTCAACCACGACCTTCGGACTGAAATCTTCATCAACGCAGTGGAAACAATCCAAACGATCCGCGAGACACAGACCAAACAACGACTCCAACAAAATGCAAAAAAGCGGCCAAGATGTCGAAAATGTTAGAACCAACGGATGAGCTCACTGCCATGTCTGCCTGTCCTGCGCACGTGCCGCAGCAGCTCTCTCGGCATACAAGGCTCCGAACGACCGCTGGGCGGTTGTGTCCTTTCCGGGCAACGGCCATGGAGCTGACGGCGTCGGGGATAGAAGTCGCAGCGGCCAGGAATGTGACGCTGGAGACGATAGTGGGTATCTGAGCAGAAACTTCAGCAGTACGAACGTGTCCGAGGCATTCCGAAGCATTTCAAATGACAAACTGCCAGAATTTGGAAGGCTCTCAGGCTGAAGCCCCAAGAACCGTCGTCACCTCGGCACGTCTTGCTGGCCATTTACAACTTCGAGCGACTGCCTGAGAGCCTTGTTTTTTGCCAAGACGCGGTGTCTGTCAACCAAACCAGGAAGAAGGCAAAAGTTCCAATCCACATCAAGGAGATGACGAACGTAAGCATGAACATCCTCGAGCCCTTGGAAGGCCAAGGCCTGAACACAAGCAAGCCACGTCAATTCGTGCCATGTGCTGATTCTCTTCGTGAGGCTCCGGCAGAGTGTAGTACAACATCACATAAACTGGCAGGGCAAGGCCCCACAATATTCTGTTGAAGGCTCCTCCAGTCGGGAGTCACGCAGTGCCGAAGAAGGCTGTCGGAACGTCTTGGCCTCTCACCTTCTGGCACAATCATGAAATCTTCCGGCTCGTCATCATCGTCGTCTTCCTCCTCGCCATCCGCCGTGGCAGTGCCGGCTTTCTCCACATCCTTCGGCTCCTTCGGACTGCAGGGAGGGTACCGCGGACAGTGCACAGATTACCAAAATTCAGTTTAATATACTCTAATGTACTATAATATATTATAACATACTATAATATACTATAACATCTATAATATACTACAATATACTTCTTGGAGAGTCGGAGTCGCCTCGTCCTCTGGCTTCGCCTTCCAGGAGACTACAACTTGCAACGCCCCCGAAAGCTTCGCAGCCATGGGCCCGCTTTTAGAGCACCCCACGAAACATGGCTAACCAGGTTTCAATGCTATGTTTGAAGGGATTTTGGTAAGTTACATGGGCGAAAGACACAGCACCCTTGTCGGCACGGCACCCGTCAAAGCCTAGCAAAATGCTGGGAGCTGGAACTTCTCCACCACTTCTGCAAGATGCATTGGTCACGCGGCGAGTCACGCGAGAACATGGAGCAAACTGATGTCCCTTGGAGCTCGAGCACAGCACACGGCAGCCGATACACACGAACCTTCAGAACCGAAGTCTTCAGTTGTGCAGCATGTTGTGTTTCTTCGTTGTCTATTTGAAGAAACGCGCCCATTGTCTGCAACAGTTTAGAAACGCGTTCACGTGGAAGCGCGCCGGAAGTCCCTACAACGATACCTGCTATAGGATAGAGCGTGCGTCGCGTGGAAGCGCGGTTCGCAAAAGCTTTAAGCCGTGGCGTGGAATCTACCCAGCGGCCTGCACAGAGCAGAATGCAACCGCTCAGATGCGACATGCAACCGGTGTGTCGGCCCAAGCGCACTCGCAAAGCACGAAGATTGTTTGTCGGGCAACTCTCTCAGGAAGAGATACATGTTCGGGAATAGGGACACAATATTAACTACTAGTACGACAGGACTACACTACGCGGCAACATGGAATTACAATCTCAATGGAACACAAATGTGTGCAAGTCTCCCACATGACAATGGCACTGAACATAACCCTCAATCACGACAGCCTGTCCTTAACCTAGCTTGACGAATTCAGAAACCGGCTTCTGTGACATCGTGCCTGATCAGAAAATCCGCGCGCGGGCACCATTAGGTAGAAGGACTCAACTCTAGCGGTCTGTTCGGAAGGGTTCCAGAAACCTCCGGAGCAGTGGGCTCGTGCTTATTGAACATGGTTCCCTACACGGGCATCCAGTATCGCAAAACCGTCATGGCCTCGCTTTGGCTCTTCGTGTTTTCTGTTGGCGACAAGAGTGAGTGACGTGATCATCATTTTTCCCACCCGCCCAGCTGACTAAGTCGCACCGCAAGGAACTCGTTCGACGATCATTTGACTGTCTGAGCTACGCAAAAGAAAGAGGTCAAGGCTCTGCATACACTCCGAGGTAACAACGCCAACCCCAACTGTCCAAACATAGATTATCATTAGGGCCGGGCCTTCTCAACGATTCGGTCTTCCTTCATGTAATTGTCCTTTGCCGGTTCCGGCCGTTCAGCTTCCTCAGAGAGTCACAGTGACAGTCTGTCACCGGCCCGAAGTCAACAAAGATTCCCTGACCCACATAGCACATAATCACATAATCCGTAGCTAGACTGGTGCTGGCAGCACTCTGCATCTGCACCAGGCTTTGGCGGTGGGGCACCCGTGCTGGGCACGACCACTTCTTCTGGCTCCACTTTGCTCTTGGATTTCATTTGCTCCACGTATTCGCGAAGCTCTTTGGGGAACGGGGTGCCTGTCTTCTCGTACCTTGTCAACACGTGCGGAGCTGAACGGATCACAAACACAAACACCTTGATCCTCTAGGCAAGGATAGGCAAGGTGCGCCCAAATGTTCAAAGGCCTGTTGATGAACATGAAGCAAACGTAACCTGCAGTCAGTCGCTGTGGTTGAGACACGTTTTCTCTCTACCCTCACTGAGGAGAGGACCAATGTAAAGGGCAAAGAGGATACCCGCCTTAGGTGCCACATGCTCCCAGTCAGAAGCAGGCAGACTTTTGACATAGCGGCGGACATGGCTGTTTCCCTATCTGTCTTGAACCTCTCACCGCTTCTTATGTTCCTTGAGTCATGTACCTGATGACTAAGATCTCAAACAACATATATCTACATACGTAGCATTGAATCTCTGGTTGCCTACTTTTTGTACAACCTGCACTCCACAGTGCCGTAATCTTCATAGTCATCAGTTTTACCTAGCCTCCTCCTTACCTCTTTGGATATTCCCATACACCTGTTATTTCTATATGCCGTGTGGTGGTCGGACATCATCACATCCTCGGTCATCTCAAGGTATTTCTTAATCCACTCCTCAGGTGACAATTCATTAAGCCCAACATCGGCACACTATACACATCATTAACTTTGCTTCTTCTCCTCTCCTTTGACCGCTTGGATGTTTCTATAAGATGTTCTGCACAAAGGTAGTATCTAAACATTGAGTGGCATATACTTCTCAAGCGCTCACCACCCCTGGCCTCCCACGCTGCGATGGTCTGGTTGTAAGTAAAAGCGGCCAGAACGCCCAGGGACATGATGTAGTATGAACAATCCTGCGTGGTGAGATGTGGTGAGGACTCATCAAAGCACAGCAGTTCCCTATAAACAGGTGTCCCGAAAGAGAGGCCACCAGGTCAGCTCAATGTTTCCTTTGGCAACATAGCCGCACCTTGGAAAGCCGATCCCCGCCTACCCAATGTGTCTCTTCTCGAAACAGGGGCGGGATACACCTTTTTGAAATTGCCAGTTCCAGATGCCAAATTCACGCATAGTTCTTCCTTGTGACAGTCGCAGCCCCTGGGCTCCAATGCTTCCAAAGAGCAGGCCGATGACAAAGAGAACGTTGAAAACAGCGGATCCAACAATCGTACCAAAGCCAACATCATTCTGGGCCTTAGCTCATCCCTGCGGATGATGTCTGCCCTGAAATCAGGATGGGCATTGACAGTTTCGTGCCATGTCATGCAGGTCTCAAGATGTTCAGAAGCCGAGACTGGGCCGAAACACGATGGTCGCGCCAACCATGGATGTGAAGAATTCAGGGGCAGATCCACCTGCTGCCATCCAGGTTGCCTGCGGCGTGCGGGTGACTGTCCGATCTCATTATAGGGCGCGCGCCCTGTATCTAATTGCTGCCGATTTGAAGACAGCCTTTCCTCTAAGAGACATCCGGTCACGTCTGTCATGTACACAGGACGGAAGCGAGAGCGGAAGCAGAAACTAAATAGACTCGAACCCAAGAAATAACAATTTTTCCAGACACCGGAAGGGTTAAGATGAAACAGACACATTCTAGGGCACTTCGTACCGCTGATACAACTCGTATGTTTGGCACGGTCGCGTGTATGCATTTGCATTTGTATTTGTGTCTGTATGTAGTTGTATCTGCATATGCTTCTACATAAATGCAAACGATATGTGCGCTTGAACATGACGGGTTACATGACACATGATGAGACGTTGCGGCATATGATGGTTTATAACGGCAATCACCGCTGTTGTGCGGGGGTTCAACGGAATGTGTGGAGAGAGCTCGAGCTACAGTAAGTGTAGTACTGATCCATCTCACACGATAGACGTTACATGTTTCCTTGGCACACACACACACACAAACAGGCACACCCTGAGGTATACAACTGTCGTGGCAAGTAGTCTGCCGTGCAGAACTCAGAGATTCAAATCTCGACCCTCGTGCAACGAAGTTGCGCCAGCAACATCCGGTGTCAAGCTCCAGGCATCACAAAGTAAGTCTATGGATCCCGCGAAGTAGACGTCGCACACCGTGTTCAATCCGAGAACCAAATAGGCCTCAAGTTGCTTCGTTTGCCATAGAGAGATCAATCTTCGTTTCCGCTGAGCTGCGGGCAATGCCGACGCAGTGAAAGAGGATCAAAAACTTCCGCCCTGCACTTTTTGCGAATAACACCAACAGTCAGCCATTGATGTGAACTAACAATGGCTTGCTGCGCCAGGTTGTTCAGGATGTCAAATCAAAGTCGCAGCCGTGGCAAGCAAGGCCTATTGGCTCGTCCTCATAAGGCTTGTTGAGGAGCAGGTCGTCAGGATAAAGGCTCGGAGATTTCTCAGCTCTTCCACTTCCCGATGTTCCGAGTTCAAACATGTTGAGCACTAGTGATGCACAAGAGCTCAAGCAAGTCATCCGGCCAAAAACTGTTTGTGGCAAAGGGCTGTTGTGACGGAGATGGGATCATCTTCGTACAGCCTCCGGCCTCCTCCTGCGACGTGCGCGCGGCTGCTTTACTAGGCGTCGTTCGGATCATGAGAGGTTTCGATTGCGCCCAACTCAGAGCCGAGCCGCCGGACGGATCTCTGGATAGATCCTTCGAAACCCAAAAAGCCCAAGACTCAAGACAGCACAACAATGCACAACAGCTTTCATGACTTATGCGTGAGATTTAATTACACTTACATCTTGGCCTGGATCACGGCGACCAGGCAAAATGCAAATGCAATTCCTTGGGAACGCAACTAGAAAACCCTTTCTTTAGCGCTGTCGCTTCCCGTGCCCGCGAAAGCCACAAGACCACACATTTCAGCATTGCATGCAGCAGATGACTTTGAGCTTCGATGGCGAAGGATGTTGAGACGCTTCTGGGGCCCGGTCCAATTGAGCTGAGAGTGGTAATCTTTCTCCGTTGAAAAGGTTCTAAGCTTCGCAGCGCCTCCGGTCCAGAGTACTGGAGCATACTGCAGCGATGGCGCTGGCCCCCACCTTTTTGTTCAAGCGCACCAGGCCCATTGCATCTGAGGTCCCCTGGGCTTGCTTCCACAAGCAACACAAGTATCTCGCACGCTAACCAAGGCTTCGGTGCCTGCAGTCGAGCCCGCCAGCCTCTATGAGAGAAGTCTCCTCAGGTGGAAAGCCAAGACCAACAATTTAAACGGCTCCGAGCTTGCTGGATCTAGCCACAAGCTCTCGTTCCAAAACCGGGTCACTCCGACCAGAGGATGGACGGGCGTGTCAAGCTATTCTCCACATGCTGCAGTGTCTGAGCCAAGACATGCTGCCCGCGCATTGAAGTTTCCGAGGCACCTACTACAAACCTCCACTGCTCTGGCCGTCTCATCAGGTCCGGCCGAGCTGCCGGCACATTCGTGGCAGCCGGGAAAAGGAAGTGCTACAACTGCTACAAGCAGCACAAGGGGGCACTGAAGGGGCGAAAGCATCCTAGCCCAAAGACCCAAGCGGAGAACAGGGCCGGTGTTTGCACACCCTGCCGACAGCTTGAACTGGGAAGCCCCGTCTGTGAAAAAATGGAAGAGCCTCTGGCCACACCAACCCCTCTTCTACTTGGAGGTAAGCACAGGGAGCGAGGGCGAAGGCGTCAAGATGAAGGCATCCTGGCAGGGGAGCTGGCTGTGACGAGGTGTGGCGGCTCAGGCACGACATACAGAAGAGCAAGCTTCTCGTAAAGGACGTTGCCGCGAACCTTTCACAAAGGGACCCAGGCACAGGAGGCCTGGACTGTCGAAGCCACGGGCCCGGAGGCGAACTCAAGGAAGCGGGGGCCAGGTGCATCACAGTCGATTGGCGGGTGCCGGCGGCAGTACAAAGCGCCCTTCGCAAGCTGCACCAGAACCTGGGTGAACGAAGGCAGCACTGCGATCGGCGGTGGCGGGGCGGTTGCCGTGTTCTCCGGGTTCTTCGTCGGGGAGTCCAGCTGCCTTCGCCTTCCAGACCTTGGTTTTCTTGGCTTCCTGCCTCGCCAGATCGTCGCTGCAGTTGGCCGAAGTTCCATTCGTTCAGCGCCCAATCCAGGTACTGTGCCGGCACTTGGCTGTAGGCCCAGGCCTTGTACTGGCCGAAGGCCAGCACCGTGTCGTTGTGGGCCGCCTCGACGTCCCTGATCATTGTGGTGATGACCCCTTTTCGTCGGCTTCTCGGGCAAGACCAGGCCATTTGCGAGCCTCGTTCAGCAGCTGCTCCAGCATCATCTTGGCGAGGCCCTAAGGGACTTGCCGTTCCGAACTGGCACGTGCTGTCCGCTGCTCCTTCACCTCTCGCACCTCGTTGATGCTCCACATCGGGTAGGAGATCACCTCGTACTCGGCGAGCTCGGTTACCAGCGTGGTCTCGCCTGTGATGAGCGTGCTGTGCACGAGCATGTCTTCGATGGCTGTCGGCAAACGCTTAACGTCAACGTGGAATAGCCTAGTCCCCACCGTGGCTTCAAAACATCATGTATGCTCGCACGGGGCTGCGGTGCCAAATCTCTTGGTCTCTGCCCTCGTCTTTGACGAGCTTCCAGGGAAAGACTGCCACGGCCGGGTGGCGCCTGGGGCCACCACAGGCACGCCCTTCGTCTCGGTTCCATGGCGCTCAGGTCCACGCTCTCCTTGCCCAGGTCGATCCGGGCACCCAGCTTCTTCATGGCAGGCCGTCCGACGAGAAACAGCGCGTTGCATGGGACCACGCTGGCTCTGATCACGACCCAGTCTGCCCCGTACAGGCGGGAGGCGCCGAACTTAAAGCAGTCGCTGTCCTCCTCAAACTTAGGCAATGCCACGAGCCTCGTTTGAGCCATGTACTTCTCGAACCAGGGGTAGCTGACAACGGCGTTCGCACAGCCTGTCTATGATGGCCAGGGGCACCTGAGACTGCTTCGTGGCACCTCTGCGCAGCTCCTGCGTCTCCTCGCTGACGACGCAAGCTCCATCGTCCTCGCCGTCGCCGGCCGTTGTGTCCAGGTCGCTCTCGCTGTCGGTGCTCAGCTCGTTCCCGGCGAGGTGCACGCCTTCAGCCTTGTACCTCGGCTGGAATTGGATTCCTCCCACGGCTTCCTCGAGGGGCGGTCGTGGATCAAAGCCGCTTCCTGTGACACCTTCAGCTTGTACTCGTTCCGACAGACGCCAGTAAAGATCTCTCGCCCGAATCGTGAAGGCGAAGCTTGTCGATGATCTTTCAGGCCAGCACGTTCTCAGGGAGGGTCACCTCCGACAGCCGAGCCACCATCCTATCGAAGTCCCCCGCGAAGCTCCTCACGCTCTGGTCGTTGTTGCGGCGCAACACCCTGCAGAACTGGCTCATGATCCTGCCCGCCTGCATCACCTCCATGTCCATGAGCCGCTCGCGGATCCACCCCTTGAAGTAGGAGACCCCCGAAGCAGAGCTGAGCTTGTCCAGGTCCAGGGCCTCTGCCTCTAGCCGTGCTCGCTCTTTGAGGGCAGAGTAAAGAGCTTTTCCTCGGTGGTGCTCACGTAGTCTCGTCACCCTCTCCCAGGCCTGGACATTTCTTAGGTAGGAGCGGGCTGCGCTTCCAATCTCTCCCTCCTCGCCAGCGTGTCCGGCAAAGCTCAGCACCGGAATCTTCTCGCTGGGTTTGTCGCTGCTGTCTCCGGCTCCACTGCCCACACCGACTATGCCACTACTGCCCACTACTCCTCCTTTGCTGTTCCACGGCCGCTGCCCAATGGTCGCTTCCATCTTGCAGCTCATCGTGTTGAAGGCCTCGGGCGTAATCATGTCCTCGTTGCCCTCCGTCTCGCCGCCACCAGCTCGGCTGCTCTCGCCCTCGGGCACCTCGATCTCCCCGAGCTTGGCTTCCTCTCCCCGTGGTCACGGCGTCTTCGCTGCGTCGCTCTCCCCCACTCTGTCCACCAATCCTCAGATTCATGGCCCTCCCTCGGCTCGGCCCAGATGAAATCGCCATATCTCTTCCTCAGACCATCCCTGTTGCGACCATTGCGCCGCACGTTTGGCCCACCACGGCAGGCTTGTCTCACCTTCTCCTCCAGTGCGAAGCGCAACATCCGATGTCCGGTCAGGCTGCGCTTTCTCATTGTGCTGTGCTTCTCCGGAAGCATCATCGTCGATAAAGTCGTCCCACGCAAGGGTCTGCTCACAGTGCGCCCAATGCTCGTCATCGGCCATGGCGCGAAGGAGGGGCCCAGGCTCGGCTGCCAATTTGAATAGGCAGGGGCCGAAGCTCGAACAGCTTCGACAAGCAAGCGCACAGCGCTTAATCACAAAAGCGAATGTCATACGCCTTGAGGGTCGAAAGGCCCAGGCGATCACCGCCCGTTCACAAGAAGCTTGAGAGGAGAGCACCGGTGCACGATTATCTTGACAGGTGTGATCCGAAAGATCTGAATGAGTGGCACTCCCCTGCCAAATGACAAGGGATAGCGTCATGAAGCACTTCGATGTGGCCTGGTTCGAGGTCAATGCCTGGTACTGTATTTGGTGGCGGAATCCATACTAGGACCTTCGGGCATGCCGCAAGGCCTGGATGATCGCATGGGGCGGTGCACGCTTCCATGCATTAGGTGGAGCTTCTGTAACACGCGCAAGCTATGAGGTAGGGATCACTCGAGAACCCACGAGATCGGTTGCTGGAAACACTTGTAACAAGATAGTACGGCACTGGCTGATGAGCTCCAAGCAAAGCTGCTTTTGGTCATCGTTGCAGCAGCTTGGTTCAATAGCAACATTGGAAATGTCTGCACATGCTCCGGTGAAACATGCCTGGCCCAGCCGGCCGGCTGTAAGTGCCGGACATGATTCTCACTCATTGTGCTGCTGATCGCGATAAAGATATGTAATTCCTGCAGTTTCTGCAGGACAGGATGAGAGTACACCGTGCTGCGCCTGCGCGTGAAGAGCTCCTTAAGCAAGCGCAATCTGCATGGAAACATATGGAAATAAGCTCTAGCAAGGGATCCAGATTGAACTATCCAAGAAATCGCAGACGGAGTCACTCACACTGTCGGCTCTGCTGGCATACTTGGTGCCGACCATGTGCATCGGATTGCCAAGAGGCCAGGTATGCCAGAAGACTCTGCAGAAGAACACTTCCATGCCCGCAGCTTCGCTGCATCTTCTCTTCTCAGAAGAGGAGGGCGACATCGCATTAACTTGGAGAGCTTGACCCACCATGGCGATCCCTCAGCTCAGTGGTGGGTTCGTCATTAACCACGTCGGTCTGGAAAGCTCCACCACCACAGTAGTGATGATGAAAACAAAATAAAGGGCCGCCATGCAGCCACCCAATGCTTTCTGCAGCTTCCAGCCGCAGAGCTTGATACTAATGACGGTTCCAAAAACCATCCCCAGCAGCAAGCAAGTATAAAACATCAAGTAAGGAGACTGAATTGACACACCGTTGAATTCAGGGTTGTTTGCTTCGAGCGTGCATTTGAGGAGCCAAGGAATGGGCAATCCGACCTGAGTAACATGAGCACCAGTCCTTTCAGAGACAAGCCCCCACCTGTGCTCACAGCCTGTTCTCGTCCAAGTCAGACGAGATTCGCAACTTAATTGGTCGTGCCGAGCTGCTAGGATGTCGAAAATGTTGGAGCCGATCGAGGAGCTCACCGCCATGTCGGCTTGTCCTGGTGCACCCAGACACTCAGCAGCATCTCGTGTCCGCAAAGCATCGTTCTGGAGAGTGGAAGGGAAAACCTCTTGCTCTTCCCGGCTCCTTTTCGGGCAACAGCCATGGAGCTGACGGCATCCGGGATAGATGTTGCGGCCGCCAGGAAAGTGACGCTGGAGACAATGGTGGGTATCTCGGAGCGTTGTGGTGTGATTCGCAGAAGCATGACTCCGCGCCTACCACCGTCGTTACCTGAGCTGTCTCTGTGCCAAGCTGGGCAACAAAATTTGACAGGCTTGACGGTGCAGACTTGAAATACTCGGCCGGCTGCGATATCGGTCCACCAAACGAGAAGAAATGCGAACCCACCAATCCACAGCAATGACATTCCAAAGATGCGCATGAAACTCTTTGAGCCTTTGGAAGGCCAGGGCCTAGGTTCGCTTCTGTCGAGCTGCCATGAGCTGCTACGACCAAAAATCTGACTAAGGCTGCCGCATCGAGAAGTATAAAAGTGCATACAGGGGCACACTCAGGCCCCAGAGTATCCGATTCAGCGTGCCTTGCAACATTGCAACATCCGATAAAGCCAGTCAACTTTCCAGCAGAGCGTGCAGCTTAACGAATACAATGAATACAAAGAGCCTTCTGGTATGAGAAAGAAATCTTCAGGCTCGTCGTCATCGTCATCATCGTCATCGTCCCCCTCTTCCGGATCAGCGGCAGGGGAAGGATCTGCCTTCTCTATGTCCTGCGTCTCCTTTATTTAAGGCCTTACGGCTGCAAGCATGTGAAAATGCAGGGCTTCGAGCAGCGACAACTTGTGAGGTTGCACCCTGCAGGGGCATACAGGGGCCTGGTCCCCCGCCGGCTCCGCTTCTGCAACTTCCTAGCAGAGCGACTCAACGCGCAAAAATCTGCGAAGGGTCGGCACCTCTCTTCCTTTGCCCTGGCCTTGCTCACTACTCGGTCTTCCTTGATGTAGTTGTCCTTGGAGGTCTCGGGTCGCCCGTCGGACTCGGGCAGGCCGGGCGGGCCGGGCTCGCGAGGCTCAGGAGCCTTAGGCAAGGCCAGGTCCATGGCATCCGGCCCCCCCACCCCGGACGAAAAAGCCAAGTCAAGGGGACACCAGAACAAATGAGCCCGAAGCAACTGTTTCGGACAATTCCTGCTCTGGTAAGCCGACTTCTTCAGGCTCCACCTTGGCAGCGGCCTTCGTCTTGCTCAGCTCCTCGACATATTCTCGCAGCTCCTTGTTCAAAGGAGTACCTGTCTTCTCATACCTCATTGTCAATCCGGCAGGGTGGAGATGCACGCATGCGCAAAGCCTCCAATTGCTGCTCGTCCAAGCCACGCCCAGATATTTAAGGGCCTGTTGATAAACATGAAGGACACGTAGCCTGGAGATAAAACATGTCTGCACGGGCGCAGCACTGTCTGAGCAAATGCCAGTGGTCTTTGCACAACACTGAGCCGCGAGCCCAGATACAAACAGAAAAGAATGATGGCCTGCAGGGACATGTGTCAAGCCTCGTTTCGAAGAGTTCTGGGCACATGCACCTCCCCAGCAGTTATGGTCTGGTTGTATGTGAAGGATGCCAGTACGGCCAGCGAGCAAATGTAATAAGTGCAGTCCTTTCGAGCTCCAAGAGTGCAGATTGCAAACATCGGTATGCAACTACGTGAATGCAAGTGGTTGCAGCAGGCAGTCCCGAAAGAGTGGCCACCAAGTAAGCTCTATATTGCCTTTGGCCACGTAACCACACCTTATGACCCAGATCAGCCATCAGCAATCATTTGGCTCAAAACTTGTATGCAGGTTTTCAAACTCGCCCAATGCTGCCCGACCACAGTCCGATCACGAAGAGTACGTTGAAAACTGCCGATCCTACTATGGTGCCGAAGCCCACATCGTTTTGGGCCTGCCGCATCGCACATTCAAATCGGACTCAGACGGCAGATGTGGCCCCAGCGCATCTGCAAGACCTACTACTAGGGTCGTCACAATCGTCGCACCCACCATGGATGTGAAGAACTCTGGGGCTGATCCACCAGCAGCCATCCAGGTTGCCTCATCTCGCCGATCGTCTTTGTCGCAAGACGAAGGCCAGAGTTTCAGGGCCCCAAGCCCTTTGCTAAGCCAAAGCCTGCCAAGCCAATCCCGGCGACTCCGCAGACTTCCGGACTCTTCAACCGAGGGAGAATCAAAACTCAAGAGCCCAAAGCCATAAGACAAAACCTGCAGATCTCCAAGATGGCGGCCGTTTACCGAACTAACCACGAAGGCCTCAACATCCAGAAGGATGATAAGTCGGGCTCAACCGTTTTGAAGCTGCAACCAGACCAGTTACTCCATCAATGACGACACTGCTCTCAATACCCGCCCTAGCACTAACAGGAGGATACTTTCGATGCCAGCCATCCGCCAAAGAACACTCCTGCCGACAAACCCTAGCTGCTCATGGCCATGATGACTCTTTCTTCTGGGCTGAATGTCACTTCTGCCCCTCGTGCTCGTGTTGTTATTGTAGCACAATTAGTCCTGTTCCGAAGACTCGGGAGTCTGCAGAGCTGAGCACTCGCACTCACGTTGCTGCACTGCTGAGCAACCGTGACAATCTCAAGCCCAGCTCCAAGCCCCGTGGGAAGTCTCCAGCTGCTGCTCAGAAACGCCGGCGACATCGGGTGTTAAACTCCAGGCATCGCAGAGCAAGTCAATAGCCCCCGCGAAGTATACGTCACAAACTGTGTTCAGACCCAACACCATGTAGGCCTTACAATGGTATAGCACGGACAGCTTGGAAACTCGAGAGTGGCCACTGAGGCTCTCATCCCAGGCCCGGACGATGCCGATGCAGTGGAGCAGGGCCAAGAACTTTCTGCCTGCTGTACTGCATCGGACGGCGACTCGAGTAAGGGTCGGAGCACAACGCCCCAATCCCACCTGCAGGCTCGTCTTCGTAAGGCTCGTTCAACAACAAGTCTGGCGGATACAAGTTTGGGGCAACCTTAGCGGACAGACAGCCCATCGTCGGACGGAGAGGATGCTGCAATGGTCTACAACCAAGCCCGGGAACGGTCGTGCTGGTGGTCAGCTCATCCTCATACAATCGTCTTGTACCTAAGAAGCATTGCCACCATCGGGTTCAACTTGAACAGAGACTTTGGCTGCTAGCACAGGCTTCACCTGGTACCCGTGGTGTTTGATGTGGAATCTGCAATTCTTGCCGCCACGCTTCTCGTGGAGTTTGCTGAAAAATCCTCCAGTCAACCACACGAGGAGTCGCACACGGAATACACTCGTCTCAGAATGACCAGGAATGAACTGCGCAGCCTGTCCTGAACCATACAGACCACAGTGAAGCATACCGCAAATCCTCAAAAGGAAGAAACAGTGCTGATGCATCATCATCTCAATGCGCACAACGAGATCAGCGACGCAGCCTCTCAGAAGATAAGGTGCTGGCCGAACGAACAAAGTATGGAGATCCTCCGGCGCTCGAAGGGTCCTAGACTTCGTCGCAAAGCCTTCGGTGCGGGTTGAACGGTGCTACATCACTACGCACACAGACACACTCTGCGACATGATGTCCAACTAAGACCCTTGCTTTCCTGTTGAATCTTATCCGCATGGCTGGTTCTGACTACCAAGTCCTGCAGGAAGCAAGTACTCTATCCCAGTGACTGGTCGCCATGTCCGAGACTTGTTTCTGCAAAGACGGGAACAGCGGATATCTCCTCGAGGGGTTGGTTCCGCCCTGGTTCCGCCTTGGAAGCTGGGTCCAAGAGTGCGGACTCTTGTCGCGCCGTTCACCTCCCAGGCCCCACGGCCTGGAAGAGCACCAGGTCTGAAACAACTCTACTCATGTAGCGGCAGGTACGACTCATGTTTCAGACGCAGGGGCCTCCACAAGGGGAGGTGAAGCGGAACCCCACCTAAACCTCTGAGCAGTATATGTGCTGCATCGGGGCAGGTAGCGTGTGCAGGCTTGCACAAGGAAGCCGCCGCAAACTGATCCCCTAAAACTGTTTTAACAACGTTGAGATTAACGTGCAGAGCATCTCTGGGACCAAGGCTGTTGCAAACCACTTCCAAGAAACAACTTCTTGCCATATGGCTTCAACAGTCCCTTCATGCTTGCCACCTACCCCGTCTTGAAAGACAGCCTAGCCACACAACGTGTTTCTGATGCCTGCACTGCAGATACACTGAAGGCAGGCCTGCAAACTCAAAGTGCAAGTTTCAGCAGCTGACAGTCAACTTCGACTCTGCATTTGCCTCAGCTACGTAACTCAAGAAGTTAGGACCTTCTGCATCCAACCGAACCACGTGAGGTCTTTTCGAAGCAGGGCTTGTGCACGCCCTTCGTCGTGAAGTCATCGGCCGTGTGGAGCTGACCTGTTGTGGCGCAAACCCTGCGCATTGACTGCCCCAGAACAGGGTGCGACAGATTAGCTCATAAAAAGCGAATGACTCGCTCCGCTGTGCAAGGAGTGGGCCTTTTAAAGGACCTTGAAGTGGCGGAAGACCATGTGGAGCACGTAGGCCATGAAGAATGCTGCCTCAGAGCCAACCACCCTACTGCCCCCGAGATCGACTTGTCACCAAGACACTTGGCCGGGCCTTGAAACTCACTATCAATCTTGCGAGAGCCGCGAAAGGATCCATTTCGATTCCAGCCGAGTTTCGATACCGTAGCCACATGTCAGCTTGAACATGCTGTTGCTGGAGAGGCCTGATTGCACACAGTCTGGCAATTCCAGCACAATGTCGGCACTTGCTTTGGGCAGCAGGGTGAAGGCACGGACTTCTGTAGTGCTCCTCCACTGCGATGGGATCCACGACCCACCTGCGACAAAATCGCAACGACCACACAAACAAGCGATCGGGACTTGACGTGCAGTCAAGACACTGAAAGAACAAAGGGTTGCGTGCAGGGATCCCAGTCGTTGCGGTCCACTCCTGGCAGTTTGGGCCAGGAGTGCTTTTTGCAAGCAGGGTCTGCAATGCACTTAGCCCCGAGTCAACCAGAGATGTGTGCTTCTGTCACATCAGATCACATGCGACACATGTCGTCTCCTGCACCGCCAGCTGGTACATGGCCTTGTACGTTTCTTTGCCGGTTCTGCTGAACAGATCAACCGAAACTCATTCGGACGGCCTTGTGATTGTCCTCTACGATTCGCAGGCCAGAGCGGGCGAACGGGGATGTGGCATCATGGCACTGAAACCTGAAGGTCGGTCGCCAACAGTTCGTGCAGATTTTCGCACGCACAGCCCCCACAGTGCCAAGAAGCGGAGTCCCCGTCGTTCCACAGCAATCGGTGCCAACAGCCCAGAAGTCCAGAGTTCCTAGTGCGAGAAAGCGCTTGGTTGCATCGTCTCTGCCATGAAACATCGAAGAAAGGTAGAACTGCAACTCGCAGGGCTTCGGGTTCAAGTCCGACTTGCTCGTGTCTCCCCTCGGGCATCTACTCCGGGAACTTGCAGTTGCAGCCCGGCAAATTCTGAGCACGCGTGTGCCGTGGCTCGCATCGCCGAGCTTAACATGCGACCTTTTTTTGGAAGATGGAAACACAAGAGACTGTCTGTAATCTCAACAATGCAACAGTGACAAAACATTGAGAAGTCGATGGCCACTGGCCACCGGCAGCATCTGTCAGCAACTCGTAGACTTTGGTCTTTCGCTTGCATGGCTTCACTGCTTGTCATGAGTGTCTTGGCTGCTATCCTTTCCGCCCCTATCTTGACACAGGTTTTCTATACCTGGCGCATCGATTCCCTGCTCTGCCCCACGAATTCGATCATTCAATGCCACCCCTTAGGGTTTCCAGTGCCTGCCCTAGTCCTGATTGCACGACAACCTGGCGTAAAGTTCGCTTGTCTTTGCAGCTTTCACATTCCTCATTACTCCAACATAATTTGCCGCGCAGTGATGGCAACGGGAATGCTGGTGGCACCCAGCCTCCACGACTCGTGCGCTGTACAAATAACAGCACCGACTGCAGTCATTCTCGTAGAAACCCCCCGTCTAGAACGATGGAGCAGTTTCTACACCAAGCAAGCAGCCCGCAAGTCAGCACATTCACGATGTTTGCCGTTATTTGATGACTGCAGCGGTGTACTACATTACCAGGATTTGTAGTCGAGGGCAGGTCGTTGATGCGGCCATAGTTTGCGAGATGTACAGTCAGCTGGCTGTGGTCACTCAACGTCACTCGAACATCAACTTGTTGTTGTTTTTGCTTGCCGGCTTCTCTCTGCAACCACGACTCTGGCTACTCTGAACATCACATTCTCCTCTTGCCGGACTGGTGTCATGCGCGTCAAGACTCCGGCTATCATATCCAGATCGCGATACACGCGAAGCAAGTTTTATCACAGGATGTGACAGCAAGGCCGACAGAAGTAGTACTCGCTGAAAGAAAATGAACACCTAAAATTTTCAACAAAAACGAGAAGGAGAGCAAACCTCGAAGTATGCAGAACAACAAACCAGCGATAAAAAAAAAAGGGATTAAGAAAAGAAAAGCCTACAGCGAAGAAGAAGCAGAACGAAAGGCATCGCTTTATCTCTAATTTGCATCATACAGCTGAGTTTTGGCCCAGGCACCGCTCTTCGGAATCACGAAACCTCAAGGCGAACTGCGGATGCATGCGTCGATTTTACCACTGCTGCTCATCCCGAAGGCCTGCTGCGGTCTTTGGCTCGTTGCCCGTTCCTTCCAAAGGCTCGGAATATATCGGAGCCACACCTGGGTCGCAAAGGAGCCGCGCATCTCTCCACAAGTGCATCGGTCCCGGCCAAGCTGCAATATGTCAAACCATTCCGAAATGCGATCGCTTTGGTCAAGTCTACGCTAGAGCCCTCCTGGGTCAGGATCTCAACTCTTGCACAGCCAACCCGGTCAGAGGAATTGCTCGGAACTCACATAGTGGTCAAGTCCTTGAAGTACACAGAGCCAGCATCCATAAAGGAGGTGCCCTTGTCAACGGAAGGGTCAACGTTGACCTTGGCCAGCCAGGCAATGCGGCGGCAAAGGTCCACGCCTTCGAACTGGGCGAGCAGCATAGTTGGCCATCTGCTGGTACTCGTTGTACTTGGCTACTCCTGTCCACCAATAGTTGTTTCCAAGAACCTCGGAGACAAAACAGGATGGGCCCGCAATCGCACTGGCTTCTTTCAAGACTACCGACAACAGACAAGCCCTGTGAGGCCTCTTGGTTCAGATCCAGTGTGTGTCTCCCCATGAAGCTCTCTCTCTCCCTCTACAAATCCCGCACATATCAGACTCTCAGTGCATCTCCGCGACGGCCCCTGCGGCAAGAGCGGCCTCGGCTGGAAAACAGAAGGAGCGAATTCATTGAATTTCATACAAGGACGACTAAGACTAAGGGGACGAAGGGAACGAAACCAGGAAGGCAACAACTAGTGCAACATGCAGAACAAGAAGGTATACTGCAGCACATGCTCAAGCAAAGCAGATGGTATGAAAAGGATTCGAAACCAAAGGTCTGCAGCCAGGCCGCCCACAAGGACAGCGAGATAACCAACCAGGCCCTCGCCGGCCGCCGGGTTCGATATCTGGCCTTGGAAACTTTGGCTACCTTTGTAGAACTCATTCCCGTTGTTTCCCTGCTTGTGGGACGATCCCTGTTTGCATAGACGTGGTTTTACAGCCCTTGAATGGAATTCCACAAAGCTCACGGATCAACAGCACAGCACAACAGAATAAGCAGCGCAATCAGCATCGTGTCACGACTTGGGCATGCGAAAGCTAGAAAACATCTTCGTCCCGCGCGAAAGCACGCTCGACCGGGCGAGTCCGGCGCGTGCAGGGACATCTGAAGCTGTTCAAGCCCTGAAGAGGATGTGCATGCTCATCTCATACAGGGGTGTGATCCTCCTATCCCAAACCTGGCGGGCCGAACCGCAGGATTGGAATCAGCAGGCTCGATGCAAAAGTCGACCCGGTATTCAAGAGGGAGAGCTCCCCAAGCACAGGGCGCCGAGGCAGGGCGAGACTTGGTGCACGGAAGGCTTGGCGACACTCCAGCTGCAATGGAAAACAGTGCGCCTGGGCCACAGTACGGCTGCTACGCAGTCATGTCGTGCCACCCCCCTGTGAAAATTTGAGGGTGGGCGGGAAATCTGAAGTCCACCAAGTGGACCGTGACGGAAATGTGTCGTCCACAATTCCGCAAACTCCTGAAAGATGCACAGTATCAGTTCGGCCTGCTTGCAAGGCCCGCAAACTTCGATCTGAAGCAAAGCGGCGAGGCCGATGTAGTTGGCGAGCAGCGCAACTATTGCCTCCAAAGCCAAACCGGCATCACACACGACCGGGAGAGACTCCGGCCAGAGGCCCCTGCGGCGAAACCGCGGACAATCGAACTGAGGGGCAGGCCAAAGCGGCGGGAACCAGCCTGTCGTTCAGGAAGTCTGATGCGTCGTGCAGTCAATCGTGTCACTGAAGGTGGTCTAAGCATGCCGACCTACACCCTCCAAGTTGGGCCCTTGACATACTCCCTGAATAGGCTCTAAAGACCTCGGCCTAGTGGCGCTGTTGAGCCGAGAAGACAAACAAGCCCTTGGGATATCCCGCTCGCAAACCGCTGGGCCAACAGCAGCCAAGAGACATCGCAACCGCTGGCGAGGACGACCGAATGCTACCACTGAGGCACCAGAACGTGGTGGCAAAGGCCTGAGTCGAGCCGTGCGCAAAGGTGACGATGGAGATGGCGACTAGATGACATGCAGTGGTCCACTTGAGGTGTGCTCCGATGGAGGCAGTTCCTCCCTGATTCTCCAGGATCAACCAAGGGCCCTGCTAACGTGGAAAGGGTCGCGGAGCCTATTGTTTCCAGTGGTCCGACGGCCTGCGCAGCACAGTGGCTTTCGCACAGCAGAGCGTGCGAATGCTGCTGACGTGGAGGGGAGGACATCGGTGTCTTTTCACATCGCCTGCTTCACCTGCTTTTGCAGGAGGAAATTGGTTTCTGCCCTGAGTTTCATAACAGTGGCAGTGCGCGAAATTCCTTAGTTCTCGATAGCACATCGTATTTGACAAAAGCAACATGTAGAGGAGTCCCTGGCACCAACAAATGTATTGCCAAGCTTCGCTCTCTGAAGATCGTACGGATGGAACCAAGAACCGAAATGGCTCTGGGCTGAGCAAGGAGTCAACCAAGGCACTCATTGACCAAAGCTTGCTGTCTTGAACTTGGCCCACGACCGAAAGGCAGTCTCACAGCTGTTTTCGAGTTGCTAGAAGAGGGCATTCTCTGCAGCTTTGGTCCTCCCTGACCTGTGGCCCCGCGACACTCAATTCTCGAAGAAGCCGACCTGTGCAAAGATCCAGCCTGGCAGGCAACAAGACGAGCCCCAAAAAGTGATAGCTCTGTCTGAAGCGAAGTGGACGCACTTCAACCATCATCCTGAACTTAGCATCGCGGCCTTTTTCGGCACATGCACTTAGGCATGGGGTCAGCACACAAACTCGGTCTGTCAGTTGGCAAAAGCTGATATGTGAGGCATTTCGCAGATGTGCCTGTAAACACCACGACAACTCTTCGCATTGCCTTGTGGACCTCTACACCCGCAGTGTTACTTATGCTGCTACCTGGAGATCATCTTATTCTTAGCTTTCTCGTTTCTTGATGGCAGCCGTCGAAAGCGGGGAAAAGCCATGATACTACAACGACACGGGTTCATGGCATAAAGCTCTAGGAGACACACAAAGTCCAATCTGGGCACCACACCGGCGTGCTATAGTTCATGCTCATACTCTACGACGTTCAAGATCTCAGCATCCCCCAGTGCTATTCCAACTGCCAGTTCCTACCACGTCACAATTGTGAACATTACCTCACTGCTGCTGTACTCGATCTGCTCATCAAAGCAGATACTTTGGCGACTCGGAGTACTCGGCTTCGGTAATTATCGTGTTGGTTTGCCAGTACTCAAGGCATGGCCATGGCCGGCCACACAAGATCGCCAAGCAAGGATACATGCTATTCCACCTTCTTCATAACATTTCATAACCCTCTGGACCATTGACGCTTCCACAGAACCGTTTCTTCGCTCCGTCGTGTCGTTCCTGATCCTGGTGTTTTGTACTCCCGTGTTTTGCTCTAGGCCTTCAAGCTGTTGCTGTTCTGTTCCGCCTGCTCTCACCTCCTCCACCAGGCCAAGCACAGCTGCAAAATGTCCAGCGGGTTCCGCCCTGAGCCTTCGTCAGCTCTTCTGGCATCATCTGGCGAGGGCCCCTGCTCGGCTGGCCGACACGACGTCAGAGTCTTATCTTCGGTCTTGCTGAGACTGATGTATCAGTACTAGCACTCAGAGTCTGGTCGGCGACAACCTTGAAGATCCAAAGCACTCTCTGCAGGCTGCAAGTAGCAATTCTCGTCATCCTGGACAGCTCTGTCAGGGCTTTGAAGCGCGATCTGCGTGCAATGCCGCGGGATTTGGACACTGCTTTCTGAAAAATGCTGATACACGTGTACAGTCACTTGTAGCGAGTCTTCTTAGAACGCTTCAAAGACAAGTCCACAAGCAGTCTTTCAGAACCGGTGACGTTGGAATGGTGAGCATCTGCCTGCACAATAATCAATAACGCCTGCTGGTCTCGACGTACATCATTCACCCAACGCCCCCTCTGCTTAGGAAATCTTACCCGATCGCGCATACGCTGAAGGGGAGGATCCTCGTGACCCCCGCGCAAAAAACAGGGATCAGAAAAAATTGATGACGGAGCGCAACTTTCCGCGTGCTCCCCTCATCAGCGACGCTACTCACACTAAACGCAGGATGGAAAAGGCTGGCTCCAAATTTCGATTGCAAGGTACAAGTGCTTTCCCCGGCATGCCCAGGCTTGTTGAAGATATAATATATTGAACAGAGTTCATGAACCAGTTAGCTAGTTCGTATTGAACAAAAATCAACGGAGCCAAGTCGTTGGCTTAGGCAGCTTGCTGTCGCTTCGCGGCACCGTCGGTGAAACGCCCGGCAGCCGGTTAAGGGGGATCGTGGCGAGGAAAGACTTCGTACACGTGCAAAAGCAGCGTAATTAAAACGTGGAGTTGAGCGCTTAGTCCTAACATCCCCTGGCCGGACTGCCTTCTAGAACGAGCACTGTGTCTACTGAGCTGTCTGTTTTCCGCCCTTTGCATTGAGCGTAAGACGCTGCTCTGCTCTCACAGTGCTCAACATGTCTTTGTTCCCATGTCGGCGAGAGTGGGGCTTGGTCCATCGGCAGGTGGCCCTGGTTTCACAATCGAAGGTGATCTGAAAGCTTCCTGTGGCAGGGAGCAAAAGCAGCCTCTAAACTTCTTGTGGCCCCACGTTGAACACCAGATCTTGCGCATGTGCGCCTTGTAAAACCGTTCAACCTTCTTCGTCTGTGAGCTGACCTCCACAGTTTGCGAATGGGGTCCGATGCCGAACAGTGTGCCATGCAAGCTGCTGTGTCGCACAGAATCAAAAACCTCATTCTGGATCAGAGGTTCCGGCGAATCGTCTGAGGTCAACAATGTCTTTGACCTGCTCAGCAGCACCCATCCCCAGCTTCTGAAGCATGGTTGGCAACAAAGCCTGCAAGACTCGAACAATTAGTCCAAGTTGGGTTCAAGTCCAGGCGAGTTGCTGTCGCAGCGTTGTCCCCTCTTAGATCCAAGACAATGTCCATAAACTCTGGGAAAGTGAGGTCCTGCCCAAAGCAGCTGCGTCTGTTGATGAATTGCCTCCTCTCAGCATGCACCTCATTCTGCTCGAAGATGAAATCCATCAGGTCAACGAGAGCCAGTAACTCAGCTAAGCTCAGATTGGAATTGGACTGCAAGGACTGATGCTTCTCTGGAACATGCCTCCTCCCTCAACGCTGGCTCTGGCTGCTTCTGGCTGCGACCGCCCCCAACAACAGCCCGCAGACTTCAGAAGCCGGGAAGCATCCACTCCAACATCTGCCAGCGTCCGCACAGCTTTCGGATTCTTGAGTAGAAGCTCCAGCTCGGCCCGATCTGAGCGGCTGTTTACTGGATCTGCTCTAAGTTTCGAGGAGCCGAAAAAAAAACATAACACCACTAGTTAGACACTTCACAGAGTAAATGCGCTCTTGCCCGGTGGCTTAGCTTCTTGTCACCATCTTCATCCTCAGCTGATCATTCACAGACTCTTCTGTCAGCAACTCGCACAGGGAGACTCGCTAGAACCTCTCTGATCTCTGTCCAGGCGCCGCTTCTGTCTCCTCCAATATCCGTTGTAAGGAGAACTTCACAGCACTGAGCCTGTCAATGCGAAGTTGTGAAATTGGGAAAGGCGCGATGACCAAAGGCCAGAGTGCCCACAACTCTGCCGAGTCTCTTCATTTCTTCGCTCTCCACCTGGTTGAGAAAAGAAGACGCAAAATCTGCTCGTTCTTTGCGTGAGGCAGGCACACTCTCGGTGCAAGCACGCAGTCTCAGCGGAGGGCGTGAGACACAACACTGATGACTTCGCAGAGAATACCGATGAGCATGTTCATTACCTAAGAAGCATTGCGCAGTAAGCCGAGGCAGTGACGACAATGAACCTTCAACGAACTTTCCGGCTCACACGTTCAAGCAAGCTGCCGTGAGAGAGGACAGCAGGAGATATGTCCTCGGACGCGTGCACCAGGAAGGGTGCAATATGAAGCTATCTAAAAAACCAAGCCGCAGAATCATGGCATAATAGACGGGTCCATCGTCAAGTGCAAGGAGGTTATTGATCAAGTCTGGTCAAGGTGTGCTCGAATAAATCTTTGACATGCTAAAATCTGCTGAAAAGGCATATGCCGCTTCTCTCCTTTAGCACAGCCAAGAAGAAAGCTCTAGAATTGCGGTGGCCAAATTTCAAAGCGTACATGTACATGGGTAACCTATATACGCAGACGCACTGACGCGCATGCATGCAAACCTACTCGCAAATACGGACATACATACCTACCTGCCTCCCTCCCTCGCTGCCTGCCTACCTGCCTGTACCTTCCTTCCTGTTGCTCCTACCTAGCTACCTGCTGCTTGCTCCCTGCTCCTAGCTCCCTACCTACCTACCTACCTACCTCCCTGCCTGCCTACCTACCTATCCATACCGCGAACCCGTTCTCGCAAATGCCTCGCAGCACGAAGATGGGGCTCGTTGTTGAGGCGCACCGCTTTGACCGTCTCGCTTCTTTTGCTTGTGGAGCCGCGTAGGTCGGACCTGCCTTTCGGGCCGCTCCCTCCGGTCGCTGGCGCTCTGTTTTGGTGTCTTCCTCCTCTATAGCTGATAGCCTCAAGCAACCGTGCAGTTTCTGGGATTCGAGCACGACCCGTCCCCCTGTCTATCTTCAGAAGGGTGGCTTCGTTTACCGAGACTTGCGCGTGCTGTGCATTGAGCAGTCGCCATTCTGCGCGCTGGCCGAATTTCGCACAAAAAGCTTCCCTGCTTAAGAGTTGATCCAACACGCCCGGATTTCCAGCCCGTCCCGTTCATTCCAGGTTTGGCTCGAGAGGAAATAGTGGTTAGCGAGGCTTCGCTTGCGGAGCAGCTTGTACGCAGCTTGGGCGTCAAGAGTGAGGTTGACCACGCCCTCATTGTTTTGAGGAGTTGAAAGACACCTCACCAGGAGGGACCGTCAGTGCACCTGGTAGGACTCCGCCTATGCTAACCACTTGGGGTCCGGTCCTTGCGCCAGCGTCGGTACCGAAAACAGAACTACCTCCATGCAAAACCTCGCGCGTTGACCACAGCCCTGTTCCTTCAAGGATGGTTTCAACAACTGTCCCCTTTGTCCAGTGGCCCCATGCCCCGGAGCCAAAAGCATGGGGCCAACCATTGCCTTGTTCGTTCCTCGAAGCCGTGGGGTTCAAGGTTTGAGCAACAGTGCCATCAGCTCCATATGTGCAAGTAACATTCTGCCATTTCCGCTTCCTCAGTCGGTCCTGACAGTTTCCATTTCTTTTGGCCATCCGGCCCGCGGTGATACCAACTTCCCCAGCTGTGATGGGCCCTGCCACAGTGATGCAAGGTCGGTTCTTCTTCGCAATGTCCTGCCATGTCTGGCGCCAGCACACCAGCACCAGACCACCCTTTGAACCCCTGGGTCGGGCACGGAAACGGGGCCCCTGCCGACTTGCCTATTTTTGGCACAGGCGCTCGACGAAGTCAGGCGAGCTGTATGGCCAACAACAAAAACTCCTAACTCATGTCGAGTTTGACTTTACGACCCACTACCACACAACTTGCCTATACGACTGTGGGAAGGACTCCACCTTTGGTCCGTCTCTGTCGGACTTGCGCAGGGAGTGTAGCAATCGCTTATTCCTCCTTGCCCCGGTGTTGCTGAGTCGGTTGCCTCCGTTTTCTTCCGAGTGGAGAGGATGGTCTCAATGTTGGTCGTGAAGGCCTCGTCATCGCTTTCTTTGTCCAGTTTGCCGCCCTCAACCGAGTTCTCGACCACCAGCTGGATGAACTTCTCGCCGGGGGTTTCCGCTTCCTCGCCCACCAATACGAGCTTAGCTTCCAGCTTGGGCAGTTCCGGGTGGCATGGTCCAGTTGTACCCGTGCTTGATCCACCCATCGTTCCTGCTGGACTTTCTTGTATCCCACTCCGCGAAACTTGCCGGAGAGCTATTGTTGCACACATTCGAGCCGAAACTTGAGCGCTTGAGCAACCTACCTATACTTTTCTTCCTTGCTTCCTCCCTTCCTCCGTTCCTTCCTTCCTTCCTTCCTTCCTTCCTTCCTTCCCCTGCCTTGCTAGACCTGCCTACATATACCCACCTGTGCCTATCCATATCTAAGTGTGCCTACCTACCTACCTACCTACCTACCTACCTACCTACCTACCTACCTACCTACCCATCTACCTGCACATCGCATCACATAACATTACGTTACATTTTGAGTCACGGTCTGGGGCCGGCACATCTGAAGAAGCATGGTGTTAATGCAAGAAGCTGCAAGAAGCAAGTACATAAGCTTATATAAGAGTACATAGCATAACTTAGCTTAACATAGCATAGCCCGACATACAGCAGCAGAGCTGAGTCATTGGAGCACAACTGTCTAACGTGACGCGCGCGATGCGAGGGGGTCACATCATGGTCACATCAACATGGCTTTCCCCATGTAGACACCGCGTCAGCAAGGCCGCATCAACTAGCCAAAAACACATGGTAACCGAGCCATTCCCCATGTAGATGCCCGATTTCAGAAGCACCCGGGCAAGACACGCCGGTGGAATCATAACGCAGC